GATTGTAACCACGGCAATGAAACGATATACAATAGAATGAATGTAAAGCTAGTGTTCTCCCATGTAAACTATCACATAATTCACAATAAAACATTTAAAAAAAGAAAAAAAAAATGAAACGTTTACAACTTAGGATATTTGCATTTAAGAGAAAAAAATCTGTGTAGATGTACTGACATTTGTTAAGCTTCTCTCTAATTTACATTTATAACTTTACTTTTTAGAAGATGCATTTAGTATATGTGGTGGGTTTGTTTTAATGATTTAAAACATTTTAAACATAAGCTTTGATCCTTAAAGCTGTTTTGCTTTCATCTAATCATTTTTTTCAGGGTTTAAAACCATTGTCAGCTGAGAGGTGATCGCAGAGTCATATTTCTCATCAAATGCTTCATTCTCAACTTACAGGTGGTTCTTTGTAGCATCATCAAATGTGTCATGGCAATTAATGTATTATACTTATTCACCTTGATCAGCTGGAATTTCAGGTTTACATTCATTCCAGCATTACATTAATTTCCATCTTTATGGACAACTTGCTGAATAACCAGGTTGGATAATGCAGTATAATTAGGTATGAAATATCTTAGAGTCTTATATTCTAAAAAAATTGGCGCTGTAATGCCCTGCTTTTCTGTAAGTCAAACTTTTGGCCTCCCTTTCAGACACAGCTGTTGTGAACCTTGAAGTACTGGGGACTTGTAGAGGTGGTGCAGGGGTTGCAGCTGCTGAAATTACTGCCTCCAAGTCTAGGAATTCAGTTCCTTTGGCTAGAACTCAACTCAGAGTGTCACTGCTGTAGTTCAAGACAACATTCAAATTAGTTCAGTCTTCTGGTTTCTCTCCCAGGGAAGATAGAGGAGATGGATGCTCTTATAAAGGTGGGCATACTGACACTAGCAAAAAATAGTAAAATCTTGCCATCCTAGGAAGAAACAGAAAATGGAAAAGATAGACAAGGCCGGCAAAATTAAGTTAAAATATGAGCAAACTGACTAAAACGCTAGACTGCAAAGTCTGTTTGAACCTCAAGGTCGGCAGTTCAAGCTCACCATTTGCTCCTTGGAAACCATAGCAACAGGGTTGCTTTGGGTTGGAACGGACTTGACGGCACTTAACAACAATAACAACAAACCTTAAATTTGTTAGGAGGTGTCAGAGGAGCCCAATATCATAGCACATTGCAATAATGATCTATACAGTGATTAGCATCAGTCCTCAAGTAAACATGAAGTTGTTCTTAAATAAGAACGGAAAAAGTATAATACATTTCAAAAAGATTTCATTTAAAATTTGTTCTTTATATATTGACCCTTGACAGGGGCAAGCTTCTATTATCTGGGATTCTCACATTCATGGAATTCTGGTCTCTTTCTGACCATGCCAGAATGAAACTTTACATGTGGATAAAGATGTCTTACCCATGTTCATCTTCTACTCCATTTCTAAGTCTGGTCTCATACATATTTATATTATTTTCCATAATTAAATTGTCTCTTAAAGATAAAGCTTCCTATTCTTCTGTAATTAGTCTTCCATTAAAGGAATTAATGTATGACATTAGAATTCATTCAGCATAATTTCCTTTGTTTCTGAAGCTTCACAGACAAAAGCTATTACAGCAAAGTATTAATATGAATATCAAAGTTCGTAGCCATTGTATGGCATTTCTTACTTTCATCTAAAAGACAATGCTATATTTCCTATTTTCTAATCTCTGAATTCTGTGTTTATTTTTTCCACAACCACTAAAATATGATGAATAAAGAGTTGCTTTTATTGATCTTATGATTTGTTTTTGTTCACATTTTCCTTCTGTTATCTAAGTTGTTGATTGGAAGTTATTCAACTATTAAAATAAGCCTGTCGATCATGTCATAATAACATGTTTGTTTTCTTATTTAGTTCTCCAACTAGGTGAAATATTGACTAACAAGTATCTGGTCATCCCCTTTGTATGAATTCAAGCACATTAAAAGAATGTATCTTCTTGAATCATTTACAGGAGAGCTTTGTCTTTCTATAACAGCCATAGATTCAACCCAAATTGTGTTTAAAAACTTGTGTTTAGAAGCCTTTTAACTCTTCTCCAGCTGTTCTTTTTTCCCTGACGTATGAAATATTAATCTTTCTTTGTACTTCCTTTGCCCATCCTAAAAAGAACCTGTTATCACCATTTGATGTCTAAATGTGAAATGAACATCTCTTTTCTACTTGTTGTTACTGTTGTTAAGTGCTGTTGAGTTGGTTCCAACGCCTAGTGACCCTGTATAGGGCTTCCGAAGCTATAAGTTTTTATGGGAGCAGAAAACCTCGTCTTTCTCCCATGGAGCAGCTAGTGGGCTCAAACTACTGACCTTGTGGTTCACAGCCTAGTACTTATCCTATTGTGAAATGAACACCTTTCCTACTTAGTTTGTGAAATGTTAGGCATCATTTAAGGGTGAGACATGTCAGAAAGAGAATGGAAAATGTATAAGCCATTACTCAATGTATTGAAATTGTAGCTGTTGAAATCTGCTATTATAACCCAAATGGGAAAAAAAAGGGGGGGTGGGGTGGGGTGGGGAAGACACTAATATGGACAGCTCTCTCAAACCCTCACTGTCTCAATTTCTCCTTCATTAGTTTTCATATTTCTGTCAACTTTGGAAGCATATCTGACCTCCATGGACACATTCATTTTTCCCACCTAAAGTGTGGGAAAAAATTCAACTCCCTCTGGCCCTGGAATAGATTGTAGAACTGTATCCTAGGGTCCCCAAGGCTGGAATCTTTGTGAGGAGTCCTGGTGTGGTGCTGTAGGATAAGCATTGGACTACTAGCCACGAAGTTAGTGGTTCAAACCCACCAGCCACTCTTTGTAAATCCTATATAGGGTCACTGTGAGTCAGAACTGACCCTATGACACTTAACAGCAACACTCGTTTCAGAAGCAGACTGCCTTGTCTGTGTCCTGTAGAACAGCTAATGTGTTCAACTGCTGACCTTTGCGCTTAGCAGCTGAGCACTTTACTCACTGTGCCACTAGGACTTCTGAAGGGTTCCTGTAACTCGGGTGCATTCAGTGCTCTTTTCCCTGGACCCTGTTTGAAATATGCTTCAGACCGGTTCTTCCTGGTTCAGTCATGGCGTGGAGACAAATTTGCAAAGTTTGAGTGTACCACAGTGATAACTGGAAAGGCAGAAATTGTGGGTTGATGTCCTGCTAGAAACTTAATCTCCCTCCTTGAAAGCAATGGCAGTGTACACATTGCACAACAACAAAGTCTCTGGACTGGTAGAGTCAGAAACAATGATGCCCAGATCAAAGATGGGGGCAGACCACCTAGCCTTGAGTGTGTGCCACTCCCCACAATCCTGCAAATAATCCTCATTACGCCTCTTCGAAGTCTCCCACTTCAGGTCTTTGACCCATAATTTTTCCTATCCCAGCTATCAATTCAGCACACCTGTGTTTTACTACTCTCTGTCTATTCCAATGTGACTGTTGGTCACGACTGAAGCAGTTCTAACCAATTTGAAGCGCTGGTTTAAAAAGCAATTTAAAAGTTTTCAGATTTTGTCATTATTGCTCAGTATTTATTGTCTGTTACCAATTAAATAATTGATTGCCATTTTTTGTGAAGCTCAGTTTGTTTTATTTGCTTTAAATGTCTATATATTATAATGTTTCTGATTTATATAGTAGCACCCATCCTTTTACACTTTCCTGAAAGTGTGGGATATTATTTTCTTATATATAAGAGTTTTTAAAAATAGAATGAAATGTGCATACTCTCTGGATAAAAATATTTGTACTATTTAATTTGATCATCCTTTCATTCCAAATTAAGAGCCCTAGGATAAAATAACTACCAGCACTAACATTCTGTGGTTTTAAATTAATTGTCAGATAACACTCCTGTATAGTCCATGTAATTTTCTATAATCATCTATATAATAAAAAGATGAGGCCTGTTTACTTGCTAAGAGACAGATTGCATTGATCAGTCTGGTTTTTACATCAAAATTCATGTGTTTCCTCCCCCTTCAGAGTAAAAGAAGCTGAAGAGGTGTGCAGGCAGAAAAAGGGGAAATCATTGTATAAAATAAAGCCAAGGCATGACTCTGGAATTGTAAGTATTTTTCTTTTTCTTAATATGTGATTTTCTTTTGCATTTAAATACTGTTTTCAGAGTATATACAAACTCATAAAATAACAGTTTAAGTATTGCCCTATTATGTGTGAGTTATTCATGAGCTTCTGATGTAAAAGCTTTCCTTTCTTTATACCTTACGTTAAGCTAACGTAAAAATGCTAAGAGAATCTCAATATTCAGTATTCAAAACCTAAGAATTATGAGAAACCTAAGGATGTGCATGCATCTAGCCTTGAGGATATTGCAGGATGGGGACAGACATATTTCACTTTCTCCATTGCACATGGACCACAGGGCAGGACTGCATTTGAACCCAGAGTCTACATTATAAATGGATTAGTTCCCCTGGGATCTAAAACTTGATGATCAATGCTAAGTGTGGTATTGTCCAGGTTTGATTCATAACCATAAATGGCTCTACAAATTGACTGCTTTATAGCTGTCAGCTGAGTTTAACAAGCTACCCTAACTTGCTGCTTGCCCATCTCTCCCTTTAAAATGAAGAGCCAACGTAGGTACCATGAGAGACAAGGACTTGGTTAAGTTGACTAGTGTTTTTCCCGTGTGGTTATCACTTGGTGCCACAGTATAAACAAATGATGCCCTTTTAAATGAAAAATTAGGTTAAAACTTAAAATAAGAGTATTTTAAATTTGAATAGTCTAAATGGAAAAAGACGTGAAGGTAACCCAAATTGGGATATGATAAAATAGCCCTATTTAGTAAAAAAGTAAGAATCACATCTTCATTTAAAAGCTGTGTTCCCTTTGTTTTTTCTGTATCAAAATAAATTTTGTCTAGCAGCAAATTTTTATGTTGTGCCTCAGTTTCTTTTCTACTCTTTTTTGAATAAAGTATAATTCTCAAAGTATACTAAATTAGGAAAATAATTATTAGTCAACCTCAATCATACTACCATAAGGATAGAATGGAATTACGGCACATTTGCCATGAAATGAAGCAACCAAATTAGTTTGTATGTTTATATATAAGGAACCCTGCTAGTGCACTCATTCAGCACTTGCCTGCTAACTGAAAGGTCAGCAGTTTGAACCCACCAGTGTCTCCACAGGAGAAACACTTGGTGATCTGCTTCCATAAGGATTGGTGGTGGTGGTGTGAGGCGCTGTTGAATTGGTTCCAACTCATAGTGACCCATTATAGGGTTGCCGAGGAACGACTGGTGAGTTTGAAATGCCAGCCTTGGAGTCCAAACCAACCTTGTGGTCCTGTGCTTATCCTACAATGCCTCATCAGGACCCCATAAAAATTACATCCTTGGAAACCAAATGGGAACATTCCACTCTGTCCTATAAGCCACTATGAATTAGAATCAGCTTGATGGCACCCAAGAGCAACAACGCATACTTAGGACTGAGAATAAAGAAGGATGCATTGGCATCCCTTCACATAGAATAGAAGTTGTATCTTCAAACATTTTTATTCCCCCTGCAAAATATTGATGGGTCACCTCGGTGAAAATGCTCAAAGGTAAAGTGGATTCTATGGGATTTTTATTTTGTTTTGTTTTTCTTTATATGCTGTTGGATCTGTACAACCTATTCTCAGAGAATTTGATTCAAATGAAAAAAGGCCTTTTCTAGGCCACACTAAAGTCCACTCATTTTCAAAATTTCGTCTTGCTAATTATAACTCTTGTCTGGTGTGTTTATTTTCAGAAAGCAAAGATAAGCATGAAAACCTGAACAACAAGAAGCAGAATGACAGCTAATCATTTAACCACTTCCACAGAATTCAGCAGACAGGAAGGCAGGAAGGAAGCTACAGCATTCTGATCATTTTTCTTCTTGACCTTTGGCATAACCTTTGTGTTTTCTAGACACTTCCCTGATTGTTGAATTTTACTGTACATTCATGTAAAATGCAAAAGCAGTAGACCCGTGGAGAATTTTGACACCTTTTATTTTTGTAAAAGTTTATGGTGTTATACCAGTAGACCAAAACAGCATGTATGAACAACAGTTCATTTAAATTTACTTGTGTGAGACTATTGCTTGTCAGAGCAAAGCACTTTCCTTTTTATTAACAACCAGTACTCCACGTCACTGTGTTTGGATCTATGGGTAAGATGTGACTTCTGGTAAATTACACCATTTTTATGTGTACATGCGCATTTTCTATTTTAAACTTTAAGTACCATTTCTATAACATAACCAGCACTTTCTCCAACTTTTTGGTTGTTCCCCATAGCGAAATATTTCCGAAAGAACATTGTCATACTTTCTTTCACTTAAGTCAGGTAATTAATAGAAATAAAAGCTAAACATAGCAAAAGTAAAACTCTTTCATAATAAAATTATTTAGCATAGGCAAGAATCAAAGTTTTAAGTTTCATGAGGATCCTTATCAAACTCTGCCCTTTTTGATAAGATCATATGAAGAACTAAGCAGCATCAGAAGTTAAGTCAATTAAAGGTATGCCTATCTAACGTCTACCATTACAAGTCACAAAGAAAATTTATCTCATCATCTTGAAGGAATTTGAATAAACTGTGCTCATCAAATTTATAAACATCAGTAATTATTGGCAGACATATAAGTTTGGGGATGAATGGAGGTTTATAGGAATGTGTTCATTAAAGATAGCTGCCTTAGTATTTTGATATGATTGGGGTTGGACAGAGGGAGGACAAGAAATGTTCCTTGGTCTTTTTCATTGTGGCAGGTGATTAAAAGCTGTGAAATGAGGATGTGAAATCAAGGGAAATTTTTAATTTTATTTCACTTTGAAAAAGAAAAAAAATTAAGTAAATTTCTCATCCTTCTGGCTGTGCTCAAAAGTTAACACGTGGTAACTTTGTCTAGCATTGATCGATTTTTTAAAAAAACTTCCTTGTAATCATACTTGTTAGGAGTTATGGTTGTAGATAAAAGGATAAACTATGGCTTTTTTTAACCAACTATGGAAATCAACTTAAAAAAAATCAAAATGCTATGTTCTGAGTCATAATCATTTTTGTATTTATGTAAAGTATGGCCACTTACTTTTTAGTTTGTTGTTTCCAACAAGACAGTGGTAGGTTGTTTTTGTTGTTGTTTTGTAGTCTTCCTGTTGCCTTCAGTCATGCCACTATGTATATTATCATTCTTTGATGAAATAATAGGGCCTTTAACAAAAATTGCTATGTGCAATATTGTATTTAGTGTTTCTATTTCAATTTTTTTAGAATGTTAATTTATATGAAAATAAAGTAAATAATAAAAGATTAGTAAGCTTGCTGAGTGCATATTGTCTAAGGATACCTACAAAATCCAACCATCATATTTAACATTACAGAAAAAGGGATAAATAAGGTACGGTGTCTGTATTTAAAGTTTTTCAAGTTCTTATTTCAGGCTTAACATTTATTAGTACTTAGTATTTTTTACAAATGTTTGTTTTTAGAGATAAAATAACCATTCTAATATTTCAAAATGTAATTTTAATAGGGTTGAAATTTTCTATGTGCAATTTTAAGAACTAAGTATTATCATTTATGAACACCAGTATACTAATATATAGGAGAAATTCACAAAGATGCATGTACAATTTTGATGGCTAGAGATAAAGTAGTGAAACACTGTATGAAGATGATGAAACACAAAGGAAAGTAATATATTGCTAAAGGGATGGATAAAGGAAATTTAAAAAGTAAAAAGTAAGTATGATGCTGATAGAGAAACATGAAAGATTAATTTCTTTGTTTTTATAAATTAGCTTTACATTGCAGTTTTTATACATTTTTGCAGTAAGAACTCTGTCATTGCTTGTACATTGCTTTAACATCTATTTTGTATGAAGGCATGGTGCTAATCATGGTACATTCAAAAAGGAAACAAACTGAATCCTTTCAAATAACAATATGAAGTTGGGGAAACAAATATAAAGCAGCAATTTCAGTATTACAGTGCGCAATCCAGAAAGCACAAAAAGCCAAATCTAATGGGTGAGTAGGAGTTAGGTAAATGAATGGCAAGAAAAGAAATCCTAATGTCAATACAGTGCTCAGAGGCACATCAAGGGCATTATCTTCTGTGAGTTGCAATGAGTTCAGATTGGTATTGTTGTTAAGTGCCATCAAGTCAGTCCGACCCATAGCCACCCTGTATAGGGTTTCCAAGGAGCTGCTGGTGAGCTTGAACCACCCACCTTGCAGTTCAAACCAACTTTACAGTCCAGTGCATTAACCCACAGATTAGATAGAAACAAAAGGGAAAAAATGTGATAAAAAATGGGGCTGGAGACATAAGGGATTTTATGGTATGAAACAAAGGTAGATTTTTTTATAACTTAGTTTCAAGGAGAAAAAGTTATTTTACAATTCTCTATGCCCCTGGGGACTGGTGTGGTGCTGTAGAATAAGCATTGGACTGCTGACTACAAGGTCAGTGGTTCAAACCCACAAGCCACTCCTAGGAGTCACTCTATAGGGTTGCTATGAGATGGAACTGATTCAACCTCACTTAACAACAACAACATGCCCTTGGAACTAGGCTGAAAGCAGAGAATACCAGAAAGATGTTTGTTGTTGTTGTTAAGTGCCCTTAAGTCGGTTCCGACCCATAGCAACCCTGTACATTGAGGAGCAGCTGGTGAGCTTGAACCGCTGAATTTGCAGTTCAAACCAACTTTCAGTACAGTGTATTAACCCACAGCACCACAACAGAACTCCAGAAAAATATTTACTTGTGCTTTATTCCCTATGCAAAAGCTTTTGACTGTGGACCATGACGAACTAGGGAACATTGTGAATAATGGGTATTTCAGAACACTCCATTGTGTTCATGAGAAACCTGTACGTATGAAGAGGCAGTCGTTAGAACAAAGAGATACTGAAAGGTTGAAAATCAAGAAAGGTGATTTTATCATTTCACTCACCGTACTTATTCAATCTGTATGCTAAGCAAATAATTCCAGAAACTGGATTATATGAAAAAGAACCTGGCATCAGGATTGGAGGAAGACTCATTAGCAACTTGTGATATGCTGATGATATAGCCTTACTTGCTGAAAGTGAAGAGGACTTAAAATATTTACTGATGAAGATCAAAGATCACAGCCTTCAGTATGAGTTGTACCTCAATGTAAAGGAGATGAAAATCATCACAGCTGGACTAATAAATAACATCATGATAAGAGGAAAGACTAAAGTTGTCAAACACTTCATTTTGCTTGGAGCCACAATTAACACTCATGGAAGCAGCAGTTAAGAAATCACAAAGGACATATTGCATTAGGCAAATCTGATGTAAAAGAACTCTTTAAAGTGTTCAAGAGCAAATATATCAGTTTGAGGACTAAGGAGTGCCCAACTGTGCCAAGCTGTGATATTTTCAGTCACATCATATGCATGTGAAATTTGGACAATGAATAAGGAAGATCATAGAAAAATTGATGCATTTGAATTATAGTGGTGGAAAAAGAATATCAAAATTACCATGGACTGCCAGAAGAACAAACAGCTCAGTCTTGGAAAAAGTACAACCAGAATGCTTCTTAGAAGTGAGAATAGCGAGACTTCATCTCTCATACTTTCATTGTAGCATTGCCTTATTACAACTCCTGGTACACCAGCAGCTGCCATTAGGGAAAAGTGTAGCTTGACCTAGTGAGCCTGCCTGACCATATTCAGCTGCTGAGGAAAGCATTTTGGAAGTGATTTCTCTATAACATACCCTTCAAGGGACCCATTTCAGTACAGGGCTACCCAGAACAGAGGCAAGACAATACCCCCTCTGCAGATACACATAGGATTAAATACGAAAGGGCAAGCTGCGGGATATTACTGGACACATACTCCTTTCTCTATCTTGGTTGGACTTGTTAAAGAAAAATTTTCAAATACTTCCTAGTGAGATGTTGTTAGGTGCAGCCGTTGGGTCGGTTCTGACTTGTGGTGATCCTGTGTGAGGTTTCTGAGGAGTGACTGGTGATCTTGAACCACTGAGCTTGTGGTTCGGATGAACCAGCGCACTGACCCACAGTGCCACACCAAGATGGCCCAACCAAAATAACAAATTTAATAACCACTATTATTGCTACCCATTATCCTAGTTGGGCAAATATTCAGGCTCTGTTGATAATACTCCTGACCAGCAATGAAAAAAGGCTGGTCTGAGACATGACATGAGATGAAACAGCACGCATCTATGGAGAAAAACCTGAGTGGGACCCTTCCCAGTCAAGGAAATTCCTCTAGCTGATACAAATTGAAATCTAAATGGGCCTGCCATGGCTGGAGCACTATAAAATGTGCATACTCAGAGGCCTGCAAAAGGGAGTTTCTAAACAAAAGAGCTTGAACATGGTAAAGGCAGTTCAACAGAAGTCAACTGAGGACCCCTCTAAATTCTCTAAATGAATTTACCAGGCTTACACAGATCTTGGTCCCAAGAACTCAGCAAATATCTGAATGGTTAACATGACTTTTATCTCCCAAAGTGCCCTGGATATTAAAAAGATATGGCAGAAATTCCACAGGGCAATTGGCATGAATCCATCCCAGCTGGTGGACCTCACCTTTGAGATATTTAACAGCCGAGAGCATGAGAAATCTCGGGTCGTAACTGTCTTCCTAAAGACTACTGTGGGACCCCAGGGAGGACCCCTGAAGGAAAGAGGGCCTTATTACAAAAACCTGGACTCTGAAAAAATGAATACCCAAGTCTCAGGGGAGGATCTGGCAGAAAAAGCCATCCTCCAACT